TCGTGTCCCTCCCCCCCTGCGTTGGGTGCCACCCCACTGCCCCCATGTCCTTCCGCAGTGTAACGTGCAACCCCGCTGTTCCTCCACCCCCACCCCATCAATGGAAGCCACTGATCTTCCTGGACACTGCGCTTTCTCTGTATTCAGCAGTACTTAAATACGTGGTTATCCACACTGATTTCAGAATAAGTACAAGGTTCAGTTTTCTTTTTTGATTAGTTTTAGAAATATTTTTTTTTCTTTTGATACTTTCAAGGGAGTAAAAATCAGACAATATGGATGGCAGTAACTGCATGGGAGCAGGAAGGAATAATTGCTACACCTCTCTCTTTGACTAGAATGACATTAGGAGCAGATCTATTGGTTTATAATGAGACACACTAGCAAAACAAATAAATCAGTAATTCAACTTCTCTATAAATACAATTTGAACTGTATTCTGAATCCAATTCACTCAAAGTTCACCTACTACCTGATTGAAACTTCTGAGAAGCTTTACAATCCTCTCTGCACATCAGCCCCTTAAAATGGTGTCTATGGTCTTGTCAAGAAAGTTTTTTCAATAATAAATTATTTCAGTTGATTCTGGCTGCAAAGCAGTTTATCACAGTCTTCCCAGCCTGATTACAAATAACTCCCTTTTTGCTCTAGACTGATAAATGTGCTGTCCTCTTGCAGTATTTGTCACGCTGGAAAGTGAAAGTCATTCTGGCAACAGTGCAGTCATTTCATCTCCCATCATATGAGCCTTCTCTTAATAGAAAGAGCCATGTTCTTTTAAATAATAGTGAACCTCCAAAATGATAGAAATTCTGTTTGGTGTCTTATAATGATCAAAACAAAAATTTCCAAATGTTTAGTCAGAACTCTGGGGACTTCATCCTACAGGGCAAGCATGTAGCTGTTTTCAAGGCATTTATTTAAGTCAGGAGTGGCTGACTTGTAACTTGCACCACAAGTGGCACAGGCAGCTTTCATGTGTGGCATGTGGCAGATCAGAGGGGACAGGCAGTACAGGGGCAGAGAAGGCAGAGAGGAGGAGACAGAGCAGCTGATCAGGCAGGGAGCACAGGGTAGGCAGTAGAAAGCACAGAGACAGATTGAACAGGAGGGTGCAGGGCAGGGACCAGGAAGCAGAGCAGATTGGGCAGGGGAAGGGGAGTTGAGTGGCATTTGAGGAGAGTACAGAGCTAATTTGAAGACCTTGGCTGATGTGCATGGCTGGGGGGACTTGGGTGAGGGAGGCGTTAGGATGCCCCACTGCAGATTGAGAGATGTAGGGAAGGGGGTGGTGGGGATGCTGCTGTGGATGAGAAGACAACTGTACTAGATTGCCTTATGGCTGCTCCATTGGGCTAATGCTGTGCTCTGCCTGCTTCCGATATCTGTCAAAGCTGGTACTGTGTTGGTAGCCTGGTGCCATCAAATCTTCCTGAAAGAGGAGGCAGGTGGCCTCCCTTTTTTTCCCCTCCCCTGGCCACCTTCAACGATCCTGAATCCCACCGGAGGGGCAGCTGGGCTGTAGGGGTGGGGGTGCTTCCTTTCAGTAGCTGCTATGTCAGCTCTACCTGTATTGTCTCCTCCAGCTCCCAGCCTCCAGTCGGAGCCAACCTGGCAAATGTGGAGTGGGGGCTAAGTTTTCCTGGCACATGGTTGATGGTGAGTCACGAGTTGCAAGACAGGCCCCACTAGAGCTCCAGTTTGGGCAGGAGGCAGGGCTGTGTGCCTCCCTGCAGACAGTTGGTGAGTGTGGCTATCACCCTTTTCCAGGAGTGCTCTGAAAGGCTGAGATATCTTTTCAATGGCAGGTCTTCCAGGAGCTTCATGAGCCCCAGAGGCCAAGTCAGCAACTGGTGCCTCCTGGGTTTGGGGGGGCACCTGCGGTCCCCCCACAATTGATTGCCAAGCTGGGTGGTGCAACGGGTGGGGGGCAGCATGCTTTCCTGTGGACCTGGAAGTGGACCAGAACTACTTCCAGTCCACTTCTGGGTTAGCTGCCCAGCATTTGGAGGTCCCTCCCCGCACTTCTGTTGCACCCTGCTTCTGCTGTTGAGAAAAAAAGCCAGTGCTCTTCGTTCCCTCCTGCCCTTGATGCCTAAGTATGCCAGCAGGGTCCAGACAGCATCAGCCGAAGATAGGGTCTTTTTTGGTCCCCTGAAGAGCATGAGAATTTTTCCATCCCCTCCTTGCCCCTTCCTTCCCCTCTCCTGGTCTCTCCTCCTGTCCTCCGTCTCTTGCAGGGTGTGTGTTCTAATTATGCCCCTGAGGACTGGAAGGGGGGACCTGTCCACTCCTTCTGCTGTTCCTGGCTGACCCAGGGGCTCCAGTCGTAGGGCATGGCCATGCAAGGTGCTAGTCTTGGCAGGGGACAGTGGCGGTGGTGGGTGGTCTTCCTGCACTTGCTCGCTACCTGGTTTCCTTGGGTGTTGCCCCTTGGCTGGGAGCAGACATAAGAAGAGGGAATCCCAACGCTGCCACTTCAAGCTGTTCCCCACATATCTCCCAGCGGAAGCAGGGCAGGGGCTACCTGTGTTCGGGTGATGTTCAGGCCGTGACTCTTTAACCTGACAGCGAGGGAACCATTTCCAGCAATTGCTAAGAAGGACTTTTCAGTCTTCAGAGTGTCACTACAATGAAGGAGGCCGAAGACACCGCAAATTTTCTCATGGTAATGTTGACCCTATTTCTGCAGTAGATTGAAAGTTGAAATAGTTTGGTCATCTTGACACTGCAACTCACTAAAAGGGTAGGAAACCTTCAATATCCACAGGAGCCTGGAAACACTTCATATATTTAATCTTTTACTTTCATTTGACCAGAAAGAAGTCACAAACTGATCAGAAATAACTCAATGAGAAAGTTCAGTTAAGACCTGCTGTACTGCCCCTCCTCTTGAAAACACTGGTTCAGACTATTGACTTTTAACCCTAGAAGCCCATGGTGTAAAGCTGCTCACCTCAGAACTTGAATGAGCCTGGGCCTGTCATTACCCATCACTATTGCTGCTGCAGGGGTGCACTTACGCACTTACGCACTTACAAGAAGAGTGCCATCCTGTGTGAGTACACATCAATGACTTTGGAAGATATAAGCTTAGCTTCTTTTTTCTTTCTTTCATTTTTTTTTTTAGATTATCTGGAAGGGGAAGTCGGCAGCCGTCCAGTTGTATTTGGCCACAGCAGCACATCACCCAGTACTGCCCGCAGTCTCACCAGAGTGTGATGCTGAATTGTTTCAGGGAAGGAAATCAGTTTGGTCAGTGCCTCCAAACAACATAAACTCAGGAAATTAAATATCCAAATGAGAACAATGGGAACTGGACAGGAGGTGTCCTCATAGTTATCAAAGGTTGTTTATTACCATAAACGTGAGGGCAGCCAATCACAGGGGAGGCATTGTTAAGCAGCCAGACAAAGGGAAAAAGGACGAGATTTGCACTTCTCATGACTTAGGGACTCTGAATGGATGAGCTGCAATGAAAGAGCCTCCTGGATCAACAGCATCCTACAATCCCTCTGTTCCCTTGCTTTATCTCTGGGTCATACACAGGCTCAGAAAAAGGTTTAGAGATTGACTTTCCACCTGAGTCGTTTCCTGCTCCGTGTGGTCTGACCGTGCAGGACCCGACCCTGCTCCTCCAGGGGCACAGAGACTGCAGGGCTGAAACGCTTCAGGAGGAGAGGAGTCCTCCAGGGTCATAGAGATGAGCAAGACTGAGGCTAGAGCAGCCAACTAAGAGACCCCCTCTGGTGCAGTGCAAGGCGGGGTCAGTGGTGCAGTGTGGAATGTGAACTGCACGGTTGTATCCTCCAGCCAGAAGAAGGGCCGGATTCTGTCCCCAGTAAACGAGGGCAGCAGGAAGGTGAAGATCGGGGCCTCGGTGTGAGCATCAAAAAACCAAACCTGCCTCCCTGCACAGTCCAGATACACCCGGATACTGCTGGGCACTAAGCTTGGGGACAAGCGGGTGCGATCAGGGCCTGTGAGAGCCTGGAACACGTCCCCCCAGCGCTGCACACCCCAGACCCCCTCCTTGGGGCCAAAGCAGATCCATCCCTTCCGCCTCACAGACTCTCTGGCAATCCCCACGGCCCACCATCTTTCCTTCCCCACCTCCACCTCCCACCAGTGTCTCCCAGAGAAGAGTTGCTCACGGCCCAGCACACACCACTCAGAGTCAAATCTCTGAGCACTGTCAGGCAGTTGCTGCCATGTCTCTACCCGCGTCACACTTCTCCCATCCTCAGACAGGACGAGCTGCGGATGAGCCGTTTCTGGATCCAGAGTCACCTTCACTGTGGGGAAAGGACAGAATCAGAGTATCAAGAGTGGAGCTTGGCCCAGTTACAGAGTTTGATAATTTCAGTGACAGCATCGGCCTGAGCCGGAGGGTGAATCAGGCAGTCTCCTTTCTCCAACATTTACCCAGCTCTGACTGGGAAGGAGCTCTGAGGCCTCAGCAAAGGGCAGGGCAGATTCACCTCCCGCAGGCAGAGATGAGTCAAGGACAGAGACTAAACCTGCTGGGTTAGGACTGGGTCTCAGGATCATTCCCCTCCTGCACCCACCTGTCCTCAGGGAAGGGACTAGAGACCCTCATGTCAGAGGGGAGCCCAGGCAGAGGGTATAACAGGAGAACATGGACACAGCTCACTGCTCTTTCATAGTTTCATAGTTGGAAGGGTTGGAAGGGACCTGAGGAGATCATCTAGTCTGACCCCCTGCCATGGCAGGAAAAAGTACTGGGGTCAAATGACCCCAGCCAGATGTTCGTCCAGCCTCCTTTTAAAGACCCCCAGGGTAGGAGCCAGCACCACTTCTTTTGGAAGTTGGTTCCATGTCCTAGCCACCCTGACAGTGAAATAGCGCTTCCTAATGTCTAGCCTGAACTACCCTCTGCTAGCTTGTGTCCGTTGTTTCTTGTAACTCCCGGGATTGCTCGGGGGAACAGGGACTCTCCCAATGCCTGCTGGTCCCCCTTGACTGAACTGGACGCAGTACTCCAGCTGCGGCCTGACCAGTGTCGCATAGAGGGGGAGGATCACCTCCTTGGACCTGCTTGAGATGCATCTGTGGATGCACGACAAGGTGTCCCCACACTGTTGGCTTTCCTTTGGGAACAGCCTAATTCGGTGGTAGATGTGAGTAAGAAAAGCATATTACCAAGTGGTGCTTGGAGAGAGGAAACAAAGAAACAAGAGGAAGTATGGAGACCACTGCAGGTCCCAGGGTTTTCTACATTTAGTCACAACACATGTGTGATGAGGACTCTGCCCTTCTGCACATTAGTGGAGCAGAGGTGACAGAGTGGAGCAGTGCTGGTACGTCAGAGGATCCTGTCCTGGGAATCAAGGAGAGGAAAGGAAAGACTTTCATTCATTCTTGGAGAGAACAGGGAAATGCTTCTGAGCCCTCATTCTCTTTCAGTGGGAGAGACAGGAGACTTTTGGGAGGAAACAAGTGGGAGAACAAGGGGAGAGGTTACTACACGCATAATGGAAGAGATCTCAAGGAGAAGAGAGAGTTGTATTGAACAGGAAAATGAAAGACACCTGAATGAGGATCATGGTGGAGAGGAGGGAGAAAAAGGTAGTGGGCAGCAGAAAATGAAAGATGAGAGAAAATCACCCCTTTGTATGAGGGAAGACAGCAGTTCAGATGACCCAGCTGTCCATCCAGCCACTCTCGCTGAACCTCAGTTTCTTCCAATTGCTTCATCTCTTTATCTCTGTATATTAGGCCATTTTATCTGGGGCCTCCTGCTCTCGCTATATCTTGCTGATAACCTTCCCATACTTTCTCACTGTTGTCCAGCCTTTCTGGTCATTTCTCCCAATCCTGATGTCTCTCCCTCTTTGTGTTCTCATAACTTTTCCACTGTAGTCTTTCTGGACTTCCTTATCACCCTAAGGACCTGATGGATTTAAGGCCAGGCACAGTCACAGACACCTGTCTGGTCTCTCTTGTATGAACCATGGTTCTTGTGTCTGTTGCTCTTAGGCAGCGAGGGGGATCTGAACCCCAGCCACTAGGGGTTACTGCTGGACTAAGAATGGGGGGGTCTTTGCCTGTGGTAGTTGGGGGGATGCTGAGCTGGCCGTGAAGGCAGACTGGGCAGGGGCGGGGAGGGGGTGGCTCAGAAAACTCAGCAGGAGGCAGTGCTCAGGCAGGCTGAGGTGGGGCAGGCAGAGGGGCTGGAATCCCCCCCTGGCCCCATGGCTGTGTTTGAGGGGAAATGTTTTATCTCACAATGGGCTGTAAAAAGCATGGACTGGGTGAGCTCTTCCCTTAACACTGATGTCCTGCCACGCTCAGCAAAGCAGAGAAAGATGTTCTCCCTCAAGGTGATACTCTTACCTTCCTCCACAGGTAGAGCAGTTCTGCCCAGCCCTGAAATGAAACACAGAATTGAACATGAAAGCTCAGTCAAACAAATATACTGGGAGTGTTCAGCGCTGTGTCAAATACTATGATTTGGAAGAAATAAGTTCTATGACTTCAATTTAGAATAAATCCTCAATGAATTCCTGGACATGGTATGACTGTTTATGTGTTAGAGGCCATACATTTCACAGAAGTATTGGTACTTACCAGAACTTCTATTGCCCATATAGTTCTTGATACTAAATTTCCCTTTCCCTCTTTGGAAATTATATGGTAAAATACTCAGTGAAAATTGGTCCCTGCTGCTTTAGTACCAGTTGCCAATATTTCCATGCATTCTATGGTAGTAAGTTGAGGCCATGAAGGTGATTTTGAAAAAGTGTGGAAGAAATGTGCCTCTTTTTGGATCCATGGCATATGTTATTGGTATCCCAATGGGACAACAGGGAAATAGGAGGAAGTGTGAACGTATTCATAGGCAGATCTAGGATTTGCAAAAGTGGGTACAGGTGGTGTGGTGCACCATCACAAAGAATGTGACATATTTTGCTGTAGTTCAAGAGAAACTAGGTACTTTATTAATAGGCTAGGGGCCTAGAGCTATATTATTCAATTTAAGATCAAAGCAGAAACAAATATACTTTTATTGGAATGTGCACTATTTTGCTTGATTATATACTGAATTTAAAATAGGCAAAAAAAGTCCAAATAGTCAAACCAGGCAAAGATAGTTCAAATAGTCAAAATATATTGTTTCATTAGTCCTGTAGTCATTATAGTTAAATGTACAACTCTTATTCAAATTTATAGAAGAAAATAATATTCTTGAGCATTTTGACCATGCCTCCAATTCTAATATAATAAAGGGCTTAATTTGTCTGTCTGTCTGTCCCTAACACTTTTGCCCAACTGATTGGGTACTGATTGGCTGTGTAGGCCTGGCCAGTGGAGGCAGGGCCAGCTAAGTTAAAATGGGAGCCACTCCCCTGGTGCTGCCTCCTCCTGCAGCCTTTGGTGCGGCAGCTCCCTCTGCCCCACCTCCACATGTGGCAAGAAAAAAAACTGGCAGGAGCACGTTAAAAGCTATGGGGCCAACTGAGAAAAGGGAGGAGCTCCTCTGTCATAGCGGGGTTGGACCCAAAGGCAAGGGAGAAGCGGGCTCAGACCCGAAGCAGGGGGGAAAGGGGGAGCAGGGTCAGACCCAAAGTGGGGGAATGGGGGGGATTGGGATTGGACCCTAAATTGGTGGGGAAGGGAGTGGAGTCAGACCCAAACTGGGGGGTGGGGAC